TTGGCTTTCATAACAACTGGAGCTCAGACACACAGGGAGCTGCAGAACTTAATTTAGATGTTGCACTGGTAATTTATATATGCCAGCAGTTGTTTTTTTTTTTTTTCTGGAGGGAAATACTGGATTATATTATCAGTTTGTTCCACATACAGTTTAAAACTTCTCTTTATCAGAATAAACCAACATAGTACGCTGAAGGCTCCTCTCTGTGGTTTTCAGAAGCTTATTATACATGCTGGTTAAGTGATACTGAGTTACATCCCTTATCCCCAGTATCAATATTATGTTTACAAAAGCTTGTCCAACAGTTAACTCTATATTTGACCCAAGAGTTACATCATGATAAGAGGTAACAGGACATTTATTGCCAATCACAACTTTAAACCTTACTCAGGTTTAAGGTTATGCTTCTGTTACTTACCTCCCCTCAGGATCATTGCAGTTTATTTCTGAGGCTCACATATTGGTGTTTGTACAGTCTGCTGTATATAAAGAGATCTTTCAAAATAAACAGAACTTCAGTTTCACCAAGCAACTTCTCCCAACACTTTTTTTTTTCTTTTGTCTTCTTCCTGTGCCTACTTCCATGTCCCTTTGTAGTCTGGTTCCTTTCCCAGGAGGCACCAGAAGAGTCTATGGTGCCATGATACACAGCAGGGCAGGGAGAGTTTCTGGTAGCAAGAATGGTAAGAGAATTCAAGGATGCATTGCTTGAATTGCTGATGATAAGGTGTAACAGGTCATCTAAAACTGGCTTGGTACCTGAGGACTAAAAGGTGGCAAATATGATGCAAGTTTTTAAAACCCATTCCATGGAGAATGGGGCTTTTTACCAGGCAAATGAATAGGTATCTCAATAAGAGCAGTATAGTAGAATACCTCATCCTGTAAACTGCCTGTCAAGTGTCAACATAATGCCTTTGTAAAGATAAATCCTTATTTACAAGGCTGTTCATAAGGGTCAACAAACATGTGAATAAGGATTTTTAAATCTACATAGTCTGAATTACCAACAAGGTTTTTCACAAAACCTCTTGGCAAAAATTTTTAAAGAAAACTAATTTGGCATAAGAATACTCTTGCATGACAAAATGATGCTTGGGAGGTAAGGAAATTTGAGCTGAGGAAATTTGCTATTGGCAAAGTTCTCCAAGGTAGTGATGACTAAGAAGGACAACAAAAATTGTGAAAAACCTTGATGAGACTGACAAGCCAGACAATAGTGGTTGGTAAAGTTACATCTAGATATTCTAAAGTGAGGCACATGGAAGTAAAGATTCACAAAACTTGACATAGAAAGTAGTGTGCTAGGAATTGGCCATGAAGTTTGGGAGTAAGAGCTCAGGTTTATACTAGTGGTTCCTTGAAAACATCATCTCGTAGTTCAATACTGATCTACCCAGACTATTTTATATGGTTCCTGTCCATATCTTCAATATATTTAATTGAATTAGTTTATTTTTTTGTAGAATAGATGTGGGCAACAAGAATGTAGAAAGGAATTGAATGATTTCCATACGAATGACTGAATAGCACAAAAATCACTTGGGATGTGGTACAGATCTTATAAAATTGAATTTTAGGGAAGTATATTTAAACCAAAATAATTTCTTGGCACTGAGGACTGTAGGCATTGGAAGTGCATGCATAGAGTACATCAGTTTCAGGGGTAACTATGCAAGAGAAAGTCAGTGGAATTTATCAAATACACAGAAAACACCCAAGTGGAAATTTTTTCATGGGAAAATATGAAAAAAACAGTAGAAAATATCAAGTCTGTGCTGCCCCTGTTCTGTCCTGTCTGTTGCTACACTTGTATTTTCTAGGTGCCTTTAAAGTTCTTGCTGCACATCTCAGTAGTTATAGAGTATTTCTGTCTGAATTCTCTTAGTCCTTGCTCGCTTCGATAGTTTGGGTGGTTTTAATGAGACTCATTGCAAAAGAGATGTTATCTTCAACTTTCTTGAAAACACATTTTTAAATTTAACTTTTTATTAAACCAATTAAAAGAGGAGATCAATACTAACAGGTTGTTAAACCTAATTATATCTACCAGAGCACTATGAATTGCTTTGTTAAATTCCCCTGTAGCATAAACAGCATAGTGCAGATTTTTATTTGCATTTGTGGTAGCTGTTAGCTTCTGTTATTATTTTGTTTTATAGATCTGGTTCTTAAATACTGGTGCTTCCCACTGGGCAAACTATGCTGTGTCATTTCCTAATAAATACCTGAACAAATAATTCTCTCCCTCTTCCCTGCTCCCTCCCTCCCTGCAGTGAAGAGACTAATTTTGTGTAGGGATAAGATCAGTTTACCCTGCAGCATTAATCTTCTAACAGAGAGATACTATTTTATTTTTCCAGCGTGCTGTAATCCACCCCAGTTTCTGATATATTTACAGTGTATTAATTGTTAATGTTGCACGTCTTGAATTCTAATCATGGCCAGCCTGCATGCAGGGCTCTGGTTTGGGAGGGATCATTGCCCGCTCCCCTGGGGATCACAAGTGGTACTTTCTGGAGGCAGCATGAGCTGTATTCTTTTCGTGGGTTTTTGTTCTTGTGCTGCTGCATCTGTTTGAAGCTGGGACGTTGTGCACAGTCTGCATTGTGGTTGTGAAGTGCCTTGACCTGTGGATTGTTACGTGGAGTGCACAGAGGAGTCACTGATCACTGCTTCTTCCCTTAGTATTTTGTTTTAAACGGGACTGCAGACACTTGTGGGTATTTTTGCTATTTCTTTTCACCGATCTCAGACACTCCAAATGGTTGAGGTACTTTTGAACATTACTCTTTTCTTCTAGATTAACTGATTAACACTTAGTATTTAAGTTGAAGTATAAAACATATCGTCCATTTAAGAAAAAACCCAGCCAACTCTTCCCTAATACAGCAATATTTTAACATGTATGATAAATATAGTACTACGTATTGATTGTCATATCTATTATAAAGTGGATGCTCAAAAAACTTTTAATCTGCATGTATAATTTTGATGTACTATGTAGGGCGATGCCATAAATGGTGCAAGTCAGAAAAGGGATTTTTTTTGTTGTGTTTTAAGCTTTTAGACTTTGAATTCTCACTGTGTCCTAGAAATAGAAGAAACAGGTAACAAGGGCATTTATTTCAGGTTTTTTTTTTATTTTGTCACAATTCATTGTAATAACAATGCATCATTAAATAATTTAGTAGATCATTCCAGATGAAGTGGTTTTACTTTTGTATTGTCACCTGGTACCCCTGTGGCAATGAAATACAGTATGTAGTGACAGAAGATAAATATTAAATTACCTCTCTGGAAAATTTGTCACTAATGCCATTTACAAAATCATGCATTTGGTTTAAAATGAATGCAGCAATAAACATGTGTAACCACTGTCCAAAAAAACAAAAAAAAAAAAAGTGTTTAATGTTAGGTAATATATTTGAGGAATATCTTCTTACACTGCAGTAATGTTTTTCTTGAATTTGTTTTTTTGCTGGTGTACATATATGTGCAGAAAATCCTCAGTAGTGTAGGCTTCTCTGGAAGCTTAAAATTTGTACTAAGGGAAAATTAGTCTTTATCTTCATGTTTAAAAAGTCTAGAAGCAGGTAATTTCCTGTTCTAATTCTTCAGTGGATCAGTTACTTCAGCTGTTTTCTCGTCCTTTTGCAAGTCAGCTTAGTACCAAGTGTGTCTTGTGTATCACCTAGGATTAAACAGCAGGTTTGGTTTCTTCTAATAGTACTGTAAAGGAAAAAAAAAAAATAACACTGTGGTTGCAAAGCAAGCTTCAGAAAATTCTAACAATAAAAATCAAATTATTTTCTTCTGAACTGGTTTAAAAACAAAATGGGGAAATAAGCACTTATCCTTTGTTGTAAGCTTCCATTTTTTTTTCTCCTCTTCTCTTCAGAATCCATTGTTTATCTTAGATAAGGATGAGGGACCACACATACACGGATGCTCATAGGATCATTTGGGTTGAAAGGGGTCTCAGATGTCATCTGGTTCAACATCATGCTGAGAGCAGAATCAGTTGTGAGACCAGACCAGATATTCTGCATTTTCTGTAATTAGAAAATTTGGTTTGAGTATTTTTGCTTCAGGAAATGAATTTTAATCTGTATTCATGTCACATCAGGAAGAATGACATGTTAGGACTTAGGCCTTGATACAGTGACAGTTCTAAACTCTGTTTTCTGAGCACTCTGTCATTGCCCAGAGCGCTCTGTGGTCCTGAGCATATTCATGACCAACAGCAGTCCTGGTATTCAGCAAAGATGTAATCAGTTCTGAGTTCCTGAAAAGGTTCAGTCAAATTTAGGAGTAATACATTCAGATTTTTCCCTTATGACACGTTTCTTACAGTGTTAAAATGTTTTCTGAAGCATGCTAACTTTCCTGGTGCAAACACTCCCTTCATGTTCCTCCGAACTTCAGCCTTCCCATGGGCTCTGTCACTGACCAGTTCTGCATGGAAATGCTTGGGGATTGCAGCCTCTTTTCCCAGCAAGTGCTATTTGTAGCAGAGCCTCCTTTCACAAAGAGATCTCCAGGAGAGAGTATTTTTCAAATAAGTGCTAATATTTGTCACTCAGAGGAAAGCATGTAGAAATAAATGACAGTGACTTGTCAGGGTGCAGAAGTGGCTTCTGTACTGTGTCTGTTGGGGCAGTGGTTGATAGGGGAGGACTTTCATTTGCAATTCAGGTGTTGTAGGGGGGCCCTGCAGCCCAGAACATGTGCAGGGGTGGGGAAAGAACTATTTAGTAACCTAGGGATGACAGCAGCAATGAAGCTGCCTTTTCCTCATCAGCTTTGGCATGCTACCAATTCCCTAACCTGTGTTGAATCTAATTATTGTGAGGGCTGGAATCTTATTACTCCTGTTTATCTCAAAAAAAAGAAAAGAGCCTTTTGCTGGAAGTGTTTGTTTTGGTTTTTAAATTTTTCTTCTGTACTGTTTATTACCCTGAAAAGTTGTAAATTGGTTATTGTTTGTTCTCCAGATGGATCCTGTGCAAAAAGCAGTCATAAACCATACATTTGGAGTGTCCATTCCCCCAAAGAAGAAGCAAGTCATTTCCTGTAATGTCTGCCAGCTTCGTTTTAACTCTGATGTGAGTATTGCCAATTTTCTTCCTAATTTTTTTTTAAATTTAGTGCATTAGATATAATTAATCTAAATCTCTTTTTCCCAAATAACTCATTCCAGTTCTACCTGCATTCTGCTCAGCCTGGTGCGTTTTTTTGTCCCTTCAGAGGCAGAAATCCATACAGCATGAACTCTTAATTTTCTTGGATAGCTCTGGCATGATATCCAATGCCATGTCCATAGGTGATATCCCATTTGATGGTACAATAACCTTCAACAAGTATTGCAAAAAGAAATGTTAGCCTGAGGTTTTTTTTTCTTAGAAAAAGGAGGTGAAGCAGAAAAGCTTCCCAGTGAGTTCTCCAGGTCATATTTGATTTTCTTCCAGAAGAAATAGCTTTTCCTTGTTGTTGGTATGTCCTTGCTGATATGTCTTTCCATTTCTGAATGAAGTCACTCTTCCAAAAACTTTCATTTATAATAAATATAAACACTTAGTTCTAGCTGTCATTTTGAGTATGAGAAATTCAAAGAAACTGTTTCCTGGAGGTTAATTTAAAAAAAAAAAATCATTACAAAAGAGTACAGTCGTGTTTTTAAAATATATAACCATTTCAAGTTTCATCCTAAGTCACTTGAAAATTAAAGAAATTCAAGGAAACTATCTAATAAGATTATAACCTTTGACAGTTAAGGAGTATGTATTTGTTCTAGGAGACTCTTACTAATGTCATTGAGTTAATAAAAATAAAATTCCTAGATTTTTTTTTAGTCTTGCAGGTAAGAATATATCCTGAAGTGATGTGTTAATATTGTATATTTTTCTGTCATAATTTTGGTCTCAGAAACAGTTTGCAGGCACCTCCTCTGAAGCCTTTGGGTGTTATATGCTCCTAGACGTTTGCAGTAAAGCACCCATACCCATTACCCTGGTTTTCTCTGCCTCTAACATTGCACTTTGAAAAGTGTCTTCTGAAGTGTTTTCCCCAGTTTGCCTTTCTTGTCTAGGCTGGTGAGGATTTTGAAGCAGTGCTATCTCAGCTTCAAATTGATTTCTAAATCTGTCATCGTTTAGACAAGCTTATTAAACTTCCTTTGAAGTGGCAATATCTGCTTAGTTAAATGATCTCAGAAGTCATTATTTTAAATTTAGTTTGCTTGTCTTTCTACTTTAAGATTTAAGGGGGAAAAAAAATCATTTCTGCTCTGACACTTGGTCCAGGTATGTCCTTTTACTGATTAAATCAAGGAAACAATAATATTTTTTTAAATTTTCTTTGGCTTCTTGGATCTTGCTTCTGAGGTGGATCCATCACCAGTGACATGGCTCAGGCTGCCCTCACTCTTGCCTTTCCCCTTGAGGTCAGCATCCCCCTGATGATGGGACCTGTCCCGAGAGGGGTCACTCACTTTGTCTGTGCTGACATGCAGGTGGACAAACAGCATTTCAGGCAGATAAACTGAATCACAACTGAGTGGCTTGAAACAAACAAAAAAAGAGCTGATGTGTTATATCACTTTGTACTTCTGTCAACCAAGCAATTTTTCCTGTCTAGACTTACAAAGTAGAACTAAAAGTGCATATAATATTCTGCTTTAAATAGTGGCATCATAAAAGTGTAGCAAATTATAGCCACACTTCTTCTTCTGGGCCAGCTGTATTCAATAGGGTGGTGTGATCTTTCTTCCTAAATTTGATAAATATATTCAGTTGTAGTTACTATAAAATACCATAATCCTTTTGAAAGGAATGGTTGTAAGAAAGGATGAAGCACTGTGGCTGTGGTACTTGACATGCTGAAATGCAACACCTTACTTTCTGCAGCAGTTTAATTTACCAGGACATCCACAAACAACACAGAAATTTGATTTTGGAAAGTGCTAAGTTTATAGCAGTGTTATGAATACCAGAAGATACTTAAATATAAACCTAATTTCACGATTGTTTCATAACCTCAACATCCAGGAATATTTGGAGAATGAGTCTTCATAATGTAATCTATTTCAAAAGCTTTCTAGCCTTTCATTGCATTATTTAGCTTCTCCTGAGAAATAAGATGCTAAATTTTTCTTCAGGTTCAGTCATTTAATCTAAGGAATTATTTATATAAGCAACTTTTTTTCTGAGAGTGATCTCCAATTTTATTTGGATGTTATTCTCACCTATCCAAATAGACCACCGCCCCCCCCCCCCCCCACAATAACCTGCATTGTTATTGTTTCCCTGAGGTAATGGTAGTGGGGTATCAACCAAGCTCTGCATACTCACAGTTAATTTTTCTTAGCTTATTGAAACTCCTGCACAGAAATAAAAATCTGGACTCTGCATGTATTTTTCTTTTTGGTCCCTTTTGACCAAAAATAATGTGAACATGGAATAATCTTTACAATCTGTCCTTTGTTTGCTGATTGGGGAAGAAGGGAGTCATACAGGTGTGAATGCTGCAACTGCAGAATCTTTCAGGAAATCAGTTCCACCATGTGACATGCTTTTGAGTAGCATCAAACTCTGTTAATCTGCATTAAAACATCAGTGTAGCACATTGCAGAATGAGATTTGTAGCACAGTCACTCCACACTTAGAGTTTCTTCTGGCTCTACAAGGCTGACGTACTTCTTGTTGTTGATAGGCGTTCCATTCCTTTGAACTTTCTCTGACCTAAATTATGCAATTAAATGAAATTAAAATGGCAAAACTAAACTATTAAGTGTCTTTTTTTATTTTTATTCTCCTAAATGAATTTCATTTGCATGGTGATTGAGGATGCTGACCTCATTCTGCGGATGTTTTATCAATTGCACAAGAAACACACAGACAGTGGGTATTCATCTGTGAGAAGAAAATTGGTTTCCTTGCCTGCAATCTTTTCCTTGAGCTGTGGACACTCACTGGTCTGAATCAATACACACACAAAAAAAATCAGACTAGTCAATTTGTAGTTGTCAAACCTCCCACTAAATTAATCCAGTGAATTGCAAAGGTTTTGAGTTTCTTTTGCTTATGTGTCTGAATGTTTAGCTTTGGTGAGAGTGTTCTGGCACACATTCAGAGATATGCAGCTGCCTGCAGGAAAAGAAAGATCAGAGATGGGAGGAAATTTTAAAATTTAAATATTTAAAAATAGGTTGTCTTGAGTGTGGGATTGTACATGTTGAAGTGATGATTTTATTTTCAAAAGTAAAGCTTGTAAATGACTTTTTTTCCCTGCCATATAATTTGAACAGTATTTTCTAACTGAACTCTTCAGGATCACCCAGTCTTCAATTTTTAAAAGTACAACGTGAAGAAAACCTCTGTGTACAAATTCTTAATTTTATCTAGTCTTAACTTGATATGTCTGTCCTCTTCCAAAAAAAGACATGATAGTGTTTGACTCATACTTACAGACATTCACCATCATACTCTGCCTGTCCTTTTTTAATATTTTCAGCTACATTTTGGTCAAATTGGAGGTTGTGTATTTCTGCTAATAAATTCTGCTACAAGTAGTTTGGACATTCCTTCCAATCTCTGTCAGCTCCAGGAGAAACTGCAGTAAAGAAGAGATGATCCAAAGTCTCACAAAACAGAAAAAGCAAGACGTCATCTCTGAAGTAACAGCAAACTAAAGTTGTCTTAATAGCCTGAAATTTGAAGTCCTTCAGGAGAATTATATCTGTAAAAGTAGTATCAACATTACAACAAAGATTGCTGGGGTTGCCTTCAACAGCATTTTTTTGCATGATCTGCTTAAGATAATCTAGCTGGATCTCAGAGGGGGATTAGGTGCCTAAATCTAAGTGTCTTGGAGTATCTGAGGGGCCTGGAACATCCACAACAGGCTGACTAACTGACAAAGGACACCCGAGGACATGCCAAATCATATGGGATGCCTGCCTCTAGAGCTGAACGCCCACTCATTCAGTTTGCCTTCTGGTTTACTTCTCCTTCTTAGGCTTTTAATATTCTTTCTTTTATTTTGAAGAGAGCAGAGAGAGAAGCAATGAGGAGAAAAAGCATAAAAGTATAGGAGTAGAGGAAGTGAAAAGAGCAAAAAATGTGACGAGGGAATAGAGAAAAGGTCTCTTTCCTAAACTTGTTTAGGAGGTGGTAGATACCAGGAGTCAAGTACAGTTGAAGAAATCTCATTAGTTTAGAAATCTCATTTTAGGAAGGATAGTGTTATGAGGAGTGATGTTAATGAGGTTGATGAAACCATTGTGTTGTATTGTCCATGAGATGCTTTTTCTAGTCTGCATAAACTTCATTCTGTTACACAGAGGAACATACTCTTTTTGGAAATAGTTAAAAAAAGAAAACAAGCAATATTATCCATTAACAGTTGCAATTGGGTGTGCTTCAGTGTTTTGGAATAAACACAGGTATTTCCATCTTTACATCAAATTATCTGTAAACACCATGTTACTTTTGAATTTCCTCATGGTGGTGATACAGCATGTGCAACAATGACTAATGTGTCAATGAGCTTCAAGCTATGGTCTTGTGTTATAATCCAGCTCAGAAAAAATGAGAAATACTCTGTTATATTTACTACCATGACAGACCAGGCAGTAGAAGAGAAGAATCCTCTCCATGGAACAGATTGTGATTGTGAGTCAGATTTTACAGTATGTGTATTCCACCAAGAGGAAGCAAGATATGCTACAAAAGATCTAGCTTAACCTTTGAAGAAATACTTTTTTTTTTTTTTTCCTTTTAATAATTCTGGGATTAATTACATAGTAATTATGTAATTATGGTGATAATAATTCTATGTACTACAGACATTCCAGCAAAACCAAAAATCATCTTGAGTGAGTGTCCTGGTTCTGCCCTGGACAGGGCTAATTTTTTGCAGTAGCTGGGAGAGGCATGGCCAGGGCCTGGAGACTGTTCTACACCACCTCCCATCCTTGCTTGGAATAGACGAAGGGGGCTCCCTTTAAGAAGGGGTTCCTTCCACTCATGCAAATGTGGCAGATGGAGCAGTCCCCTATTATTTGTTATTGGGAGCTTCTTTATCTTATACCTTTTGTTATTAATAT